TTAAAAGGTCACTTAATAATCAACCATGGAATCTGTAAAATAATCAGTGGTGGATCCAGGAACCTTGAAAAGAGGGAAGGGTAGGGGGCACGTCACAGACAAAAAAAAATTCATATATCAAATTTTATGTACATTTTGGAAAAAAAGAGGGGCCTGTCCCCTTGGGCCCCCTCGAAATCTGCCAGTGATAATGATTTAAATGAGACAAGACTGTTGGTAACTTTTTTTTCAATTTGTTTGTCAAAAGCTTGTCTTGTATTTGTAATAATTCGTGACTTGATTTCGATATTAAATAACGAGGAGCTTTTTGCTTTGCCTCTTGAAAGTACACAGTAATTAATTGAATTTTAAATTTAATTGGCTTTAATTATAGATTAACTGATTACGGAAAAAAAAATAAATTTGAATTAATTAGGGAAGGCAATCGAAAAGAAATTGTGTTCTTTGGATAACCGCATGACGTTCCAACCGATGAAGCGATTAATGATATCAAAACATTTTTTCCTGACATTTTTTGTTAAAAGTTGAGAGCTTTAATTAATGAATGAAAAATTAAGCTTGATGAAAAACGTAATGACTTTAACTTTAATTTCAAATGTCAACATTCCTTACTCATGCAGCAATATACTTTTGTGATCTGCATATACGATGTCAGTAGCTCTCAAATGATCCGATAAGCAAGAGCGTGTTCTAAATATGAACAATTTCTAAAACGAGGTATACAATTTGTATATAACCGACAGACAATTTGCTGAAACAAGAATATCAGCAGTCTCATTAAAATGCACAATTTTATAAATTCTATGGTCGATCCAATGACCTTGTCAGCATATACAGTTTATCACTAAGTCAAATGATGATTGACGTTTTTCATGCCAATTATTAGGCCATTTTTTACACTCTGAATTGTCGACGGGTTTTTTCGTTAATTTGCGATCATGACGATGAGCACACGCCGCGGATGTAAACGGTCGACAGGGGATGCGGTAATCTATTGCACCTAATCTCTAATTATTTGGGGGTCCGACTTTTCTCTGCTCCAATTTTTTGTTATCTAATGTTTTTTTAGCTTGAATACTGTTCTGCACCTGTTCCAAATATTTCTTGGAAATAACGAACAGTATTGGAGCTCATAAGACCATCAAACAATACAAAATTAGAGCAGAGCATAAACGGATCTTCAATCCACCAGAAGTTGGATCAGGTACAATGGAGGCGTGAGCATCCCCTGCTGACCGACCAGCTGATATAAATCTCTTAAACAATATACTTGTAACTTATCAACATTAAGATTTATTTTGTATAAATTGTCTTAATTAAATTTCTAAGAAAATAAGACATTTAATTTTTTTTCCTGAATAATCGATAACAGATTTTCTAATTTTTTTTTTTACTGATCTAACCGAATTATTGATTAAACAGTTACAAATTGCCATCCCTAAAATTAATCATAACAGACAATTAAGATAAAAACTTTTTCTAGGGCAGGATAAATGGGGCTTTTGTCTGACATGTATTTAAACCTACATTCGTTTGGCTTTGTGAATGTCTATAATCATGAGAAACTCCTTGAGATAAAATGCAGAGACTTAGCAAATGTTCAACAACTCTTTCCTTTCTAATCAATACATTCAATAACATTTAATGATATTATCATGGAAATTCATTACGTGTAACTTTGTAAGTTAAAGGTTAAATGGAATGTCTAAAAAGAACATTAAATATCTAGATACATGTATATAAAAAAAGTAAAATTATTTATTCCTTTTATGGTTGTTGTCACAGCAAAAATACACATGACTGTTTAAGTAATAGGAAATAAGCTAAAAAAAATCATAAATTTATATTTCTGGATTTATACTGAGTCCAAGTATTCCAGCAAGAATATCGTAGGTTATTCCACTGACCCATTGTTTTTCTTTTGAGGATAAAATTGTATTTGAACAAAGTCATACATTATACCAGATCCTATTGTTAAGTATTTCCTTTACTTTTTTTAATTTGTTTATATATATACAAAACATTGAATATATTTTATTCTGCAACTACCCAGTGCACTTTACTTATAAATTGTACTAAATAAACCTAAATTTCCTCGGTCAATGTTATAATAAAACCTCGAACATGTACAGTAAGGGTTTTATTGACATGTAATTATCGTGTTTGAAAAATAAATAAAAATCCCTCAGAAAAATGATTCTATTCCGACGTTCGCAAAACATTGTGCCATCATGTTTATTGCAATGCTTACGCTATGGCATCTTTGTATGTGCCTAAATTGAGTTAAAAATAGTTCGTGTTGGAAATCAGATGTTGCAGGATAAAAAAAATACATGGTTACTGTCTTGAAATATAAGCAGCATTTGGGCTCGGATAAAAAAAAAGTGATGATAGTCTCGGCTGACCTCGCCCGCTATCACGTTTTCTCATCCTCACAAAAATATATTGCTTATAATTAAAGATATAATCATTCATTTTACATTTTCTTAAAACGGAAAATGGATAACAAAAGCAAAAACACACACAGAAGGTGAGTGTTACTGTAAAAAAGAACATTGTAGGTACTGCCTCAATTTTCCGATTGTTTGACGACAACAAAATTAGAGTTTGTACTTGGGCAGCTGTCACTGCCTCTTAGCATGACCCTGATTCAGCGTACCGCACAAGACTTGATTTTTATCGATTCAACAGTGTGCACTGTCGCTTGTTTTATTGCTTTATGTTGACACATCTTTTTTATGAACATCGTGTGAATCTTATGTTCCTTTGTTTGGAATTATATAAATCATCGCAGGTAGCTCATGTTTACATGTACTTTATTATTATTTTATTATTACTGCATGCTGTAATATTTTGATTATTATAGAAGAATGTATAAATACATGTATTTAATTTTTTAGAATGTCATATTATTTAAAAAATTTAGAATTTTTTTTCTTTCATAAAAGTTTTTCAATTTAAAATATACAAATCCATCTGTAAGAAGAAATAATTTTAAATTTCTTTAATTTCAAAATTCCAATGTAACATATAAAAAATAAAAGCAAAAAAAAAAGTTTCTAACTATGCAATTTCAAGCGTTGCTTATTTATTTATTTATTTTTAGATTTTCTGTAAAAAATATATAGGCTCAAAAAAACAAATATTCTTTAAACCAATTTAAAAGATATAAAAATGATATTCAATGTCAGTTTTTTGTGGAATGTTAACCAGTTCTCCTCTTGAGTGATAAAATATTATGCTGGGTTATGTGATCAATTTTCCATTGTCAATTGTTTATAGTAAGTTTAAAGAAGTAAAAACATTTTTTTAAAAAATGACAGAGACTTTAACAGCTTTAAGAAGACAAAAACTCTCTTTCAAAATATAAAACTATTTTTCCCCTTTTACATGTACAATTACAGACCAGGTAATACACATGCATGCATAAAAAGAAACAAATGAATGAATACATGTACGAGGGTTGATCCAAAAGTAATGTCACTGTGTCCATATCTTTAATATTTGGCGTCTTATTATCAAATTTAATGTACCAAAAGATTTTAAAAGATTAAAAATTTAAAATTTCATTTAAGAGTATTTAATTGAATTTATTTTATAGGCGTTTTAAATATTAAATATATGTGGTGTCACATAAGCGTCACAAATAAACGTCACGTTTTAGAGTGTATAACACATCAAAAAGCATCTAAAAAGCGTCTTATCGCCCAATACTAGTATTCAGGACATTTTCTAGTCTTTAGTTGAAAATAAAATAACGTAATTGCTTTCAGATCATAAAAAATATGATGTTATTTAGGTGCGGCGACTACCATAATTGCACTTTGTATATAATTCGATATTTTGAAAATTTTAAATCATTTTAATTTGAATTTTTCAGGACTGATTTGTAATAAAATATAGCTTCAATCGTGAAAAATTTTGTTGATTTCCGTCGACTAGAAGCAATTTTATCGAAGTTGTGACATTACTTTTGGATCAACCCTCGTAAATAAACTATTAATAAATTAATATCAAAATATGAATAAAACGAACAGATACGATAAAAAAATTCAAAGATTATTTAAAGCTTCCTTTTTTAAAAAAGAAAAAAAAATCAAAGGTGAATAACATTTTTACTCCAAAGATCAAGCCATTTAAGAATTTAAAACATCACGAGAATTCAGTTTCGTATCAATTTTTAAGGGAATGTGACGTCAATTGGTATATAATTTCCTTTTTTTCCCTTGACTTTGCAAATCGATTTTATTTTAAGGAAATTATTATTTAAGTTTTAATGATTTATATTTAAATAACAAATATTACTTCAAGAAGTCACGTCCCCGATACATGTAGTTTTAATTTTAATATACTGTATTATATCAAGCGTGTAAAATATTCAGGCACGTAGCAACAGGGAGCCAGGGGAGGCCTCTACCCACCTCCACCCCCACGAAATAGGATTTTAGAGCTTGGTCTTTTTTTTGCTTCTTAACTTTTTCAGGTAAGTAGACCTGCCCCCCCCCCCTCTCACTTTCAAAAACGATGATACGACACTGATATTTGGCGGATATCGATTTTTGAGCAATTTAGCATTGATTTGATTTAGGGCATCTCTTATTATTTTTATTAATGTGTATATGTGCGAGACGTTTTGCGTTTACGTTGTACTTCAATTAGCGGACGCTGCTCTCCGCCAAAAACTCTAAAAGAACACACAGCCAAAATGTAATACGCGAACAGTAAATAAATACCCCCAAGGAAACATCTTTCTTAATTTTACGTGGAGGTTAAGATATTTTTTTTATAAATATCATTTTTAAAATGCTTCAAAAGAATTTTGTCTTGAAAGAATTTTCTGTTAGAATATTTCAAGAATCGTTTGTCTTAGTATTTGATATATTGACAAGATGAAAATAAAATACAATGATCATATAATTACTCTGCATTTTGTGATGTTAAAAAAATTGACAAAATCTGTATAGGAATGATTTTTTATATCAATCTTTATTACCTTGCAGGTTCGAACTGATTGCTTTGCTGAAAAAATTCTGAGTATGTCTTCGACATAATGGGTCAAATACGAAAGGTAAGCATTAAATAAAAATGAAAACATTAATTTTCTTTCTTTCCTTGTAGTTTGAACACTCAAAATAACATTATATAGTTGCGAGAAATATCTGCGAATTTTTGAATCGCATTTTTTAATCACGAATATTTCTCAGGCGAAATATTTATTTTCATTTGAACATATAAGTGTAGACTTTTCCTCAGTCGTAAAAAAAATGTCGTTCAGGATATATATTTCAAACTGTAGCCAAAATTTCCCATTTATTTGATTTTTTAAAACTCGCAAATTTAACAAAGAAAGGACGTTGGGAATATTACGTTTTTCAATATGATGATGTTTTTCGGTTTATTTTAAGCCGTAGAAATCATTCAGAGCCAAAGGCCACAAAGGAAACACACTGTGTCGACTTCCTTAGTCAATCGAGATGTGGTAAAAAGAATTAATTGCTTGTCAGCCATTAATTAAGAGAAAGTGCTTACACAAACTCTGCAGACCATTAATCACTAGTCTTATTGAATAGTAACTATAGTTTAGAGTCTAAAGGGTATACTTTACATTTTAAAAAAATACTTCAAGCTTACAATATCACATAAACTTCCTGGTAATTTAGTGAGATAGGGAATAACCTGAAAAAATAACCTCTCTCTATATATTTACAGTAGACATGATAGAAAGAGTAATATGTAGGCTTTATTGTTATATTGAGAACTTTAAGATCACCAAGTAATACATCTTTTCTTATTCTATTTATTTATTTTTTGAAGATTTTTTTTTTTAATTCATCTACCTAAGTAAAATTTAATTCATTTTGCAGAAAAATGAAAACCCCTACACATGCGTGTTTAAGAACCCTCTCTATGAATTATTCATGGACATTGTATCGACAGATAATTAAAAGGAATTTTCAAAAAATGGAAAAATATGAAATACAAACAATTAAAAAGATGATGATGGTGGTATCAAGGAAAAATAAGGGCTTCAATAACATCTAATTTGAAATATTTTTTTTTTTAATTTCTTATGTATACCCCGGTCTGAATTTATCTTTTCAAAGTCATTACTAATGTTTTGTTGCGTACGAGGGTTGTCCCGTAAAATCGTGGACAAAGCGTTTTTTTTCGAAAAGTAATGGGCGCATTAAGCTGAAATTTTCAATGAATGTTATTCATCATATTTAAGTGCATCATTATTTTTTTTTTATAATATATAGGGAAAAATAAAGATTTTATTATGCTTGAACGTGCACATAGTATGGTCCTACGGCGCACGGTAAAAAAAAAACAAGGTTATATTAGAGAATACACAAGAATTAATTCGTAATAAAAGTTTTCAATACATAAAAATAGGATGAAAAGTATCATAATTCGATTCCTTAATCAATTTGTCGTCTTTATAAAAATTTCAAGGCATTTGGTTAATTTTTGGCAGTTTCCCGAGCATTCGAAATAGGAAAAAGGTAAACACAATACTGCAAAAATCGCGATTTTTGATGACGTTACGGCTCACCGGAGAGCAGTTCAGTTAGATTTGGATGTTGTAATGACACCTTAAGAGACTTTAAATGAATACAGAAGAAAGAAAATATGACAAAAATCACCAGATCTTTAGAATATAAATGAAATGGAAGGTTTTTTAGCAAAGTCTTTTTGATTGAGTCCTCAGGTAGTACAAAATGTACGGACAAACTGATATTGTAATAGCAAAGATGCTGTCATTGTCGACTGTTGATATGAGATTCTCTGTTATTTGAATGCTGTTGAGGATACTGTCCAAAACTTGCTAATGAATTTTCAAAAGATTGCATGTGTGTGCCAGTTGAGTTTCTTATCTGGTTTTAGACATTCATGAATGTGAATTAATAGAATTTTTAAATTTAAGTTGGACTTCTCCAACTTTATTTTAGCAAAGATAAAACGTGACGCTGTTTTAGACACTTTGACGTTATCATCCGTGCGCCGTATGGCGATACAATACATAACATAACATCTAATAATCTGTTTATTTATGCATATATCTATTTGAAATTTGCTCTGTATATTCATAATATCTGTACTAAAGAGTAGTGAAAATTTCAGAACACAGTGATGATTATTTTTCAAACTAGACAACTTGTCCACGATTTTACGGGACAACCCTCGTATATAACACCGTTTTATATTTCTTGCTTTTCTTAGAGTGTGTATTATCTGAAAAGCGACTGAGATTAAAAGTACTATATTTTCACACGTAACTTTAATTTAGTGGTTAAGCGGTCAGCACTTTATTCCTCAAACAGGCTGAGAATAGTCGGTAATTGCTCATTGAATAATAAATCCGGCTTAAAAATGAACTAGGGAACTTAAAGAAAACCTCTTCTTTATGCCATATTATTTTTTTCAAACCCCGAAAATATAATTTTTAGTGTTGTTACATGTAAGAGTGTCCTTTTGTGTACATAAAAAGTACTGCCTCAGACGCCAATACTTATGAAAAAATAGAATATTATGGCGCTAAAAATACACAGGTCAATCCACGTCTGAAAAAAAGTATATGCACAACTTTTCAGATTTTTTTTCAATATTTTAGCATTATTTTTTGGTTGATAAAGAGTGTTAAAGTAAAGTTTATAAAAATCTTTTTTTTCTACAATGACGCTTCAGAGAACACTTAAAAGTATAATCTTATTTCCTCTATGTTTATAAATGTATGTCTGTGTGTTGTGTTTTCGAGATTGTTAAAGTGTTTTTATCTTGATAAAATATTCTCATGATCATGAAATATATGGCTATAACGAACCGTGAACAATCTCAGAGGTCTCTTAATTATATAAATCTCTAAAACATCAGAGATAGGATCAGGTGCCATGGAGGCGTGAGTGTTCCCTGTCGACCGGTCATTTATTTAAATATGGTAATTTAAACTTAAGGAGTAAAAAAGCACCCCTACTACCATTCTAACATAGAAATGACTATTGACAGGATTTTTCTAAGTATTACATAAATATTTCTTTTGGCCTTTGAATTTGTACTAAATCTTATTTAAAACAACAGATACCTCATACATGTACTTGGTACATGAAGGATGCAGTCACTGTGATTGATATTTGTTTTTATTTCTTAATGAGACTGAGTCAGCACTTTAAGGGAACACTTTTCAATGAAACAACGTCCATGACTTCCTTGTTTGGTTAAGAGTTTAAAGCCGAAAACAATTTTAGAAAAAAAAAAAAACGAAATATAATTTATTTAGTGATTTGAAAGGTTATGATAGCTAACTTATCAAAATGTAATGCTTCTCATAAACTTAAACCTATCTCCATGAACTTTTCTTTCTTATAAAATACTGGAATAGGAGTGTGTCAAAGAATAGTACGTGATTTTAAAAGTGGACATTTAAAATTTTATCGATTAATAAAGATTCTTTGTTCTATTTTCATTTCAGGCTACACTGAGATCAAGGCTAAAGACTTTGATAACGGTATCCAAATGGATCATAATTTTGTTCATCATTACCTACATAATCTGTTTACCACTTCGGAGAGTAAAGCAAAACATCAGGGAAACATCTTATAAACTAGTCCAAGCTTACATAAGCTCGGGAATCATCACGACATCGTCGATAGCTCCAATAACCTGCGAGGATAAATATGTGTATCTACTGATGGTTGTGCCAAGTGCAGTAGCTAATTTTGAACAAAGAAACGCCATACGAAATACATGGGGAAATGTATCTAATTTGCATACGACTGTTTTGTTAAAATTCTTGTTAGGAAAAAGTACGAACGCTGCGCTCCAAGATATTGCAGTAACGGAAAGTGAAATTTACAATGATATTATATTTGAAGATATTTTAGAAACTTATGAAAATTTAACAAGGAAATCAATTGCCATGTTGCGATGGGCATCAATGCACTGTCGTGATGTGCAATATCTCCTTAAAGTAGACGATGATATATTTTTAAATCTTCCTAGACTCCTAGATGAACTAAAGAAACATCAAATGAAAAATGCAATAAGTGGATGCAAGGTAACGGGGTCATCTCCATTTAGACATTCAATATCAAAATGGAGTGTGTCAAGAGCGCAATACAAAGAGGATTATTATCCGGACTATTTAGCCGGAACAGCATATTTAATAAGTGGTGATATTATACAAAACCTTTACCGTGCAACACAAAAAGTTCCGTATTTCATATTTGAGGATGTGTATATTACTGGTTTGTGTAGACAGTATATTGGGGCATCAGCCAATGGAAATTTAGGATTCAGCTGTGGATACCGTGACCAAGGGCCGTGTGGAAAGAACTTCCGGTACAAAATAACTGGACATCATTACAGTCCTCCGGAAATTGAAAGAATGTGGTTGGAATTGCAAGATAGATGGTCTAATTGCCGACTTGTAGATTATGATTTTATATATAAATTAGTTGATTTATTTAGATACATATTCTTATAGATATTCACGTACATGTACATAAAACATAACTGCAATATAAGAAAAGAATCGTTTATCTTAATTAGCTTGATAAAATAATGGTTGACAATGTAATGTCTATGTTCAAGAAAAATACATGTATTAACAGCGGTGCTTTGTAAAATTAGTTGAAGTGCTTTGTTACTTTTAGATCTCTATGTGATTAAGTATTATACAAAGTTGAAGTATTGTTTAAAGCAATCCGAGTGATTTTATATTAACCTTATACATGAATGTCTAGCTTCCTACTGCTTATGCAAAAACTATGCAGTTTTTACATTTTTTTATTTGATTTCTCTTACTTTTGAGTTTATATTATGCTGCTCAGCTGTGTTCAATAAAATTGATTTCTTTTGTATTGTTAGAATTTGCGATGTAAAGACGCTTTCATTTATTAATGATTCGAAATAAAAAAAAATATTTTACAGAGTTTGGAATATCTAGAGGTTCATCTTTGGATACATATAGTATACTAGACAATCAAACAAAGATTGATTGGTTGTACTGTAAAACGAGAATATATGGCGCATTACTTATTTCAGCGCCTCTGGCGCATGAGCCCTTGATCGCTAAAAATTTATTGTGCGCTATGGATTTTTGTGCGTGTTCAAAGCTTTCACATGCACATGTTAACCGGAATACGTAATGCCGAAGGGTCGTTAGACTTTTATATACACACTAACACTGTAGGATCGATCGAGAAAGTCCTGCCAAATTGTAATTCAATTAAGCTATTGTTAGTTGTTACCAAGTACTTATTATAAGAACTTTCAAAGTTTGGCTTCTCGGCGTGTCAATAATTTATCGCCTCGAGATAAAGAATTCAATCAAGCATGGCGATTGAGCATACAGACAATACCTAATTATGATTACCGTTTATCCTGGTAACTTTCTTTCGATGCATGCATTGTTTTAGTAAATGAAATATGATGTGTAAATACTCCACTTTTTTTCTTTTATTTAAAAAAAAAATAAAATAAAAATTTACTTTGTGCCACGTCCATGTGATTGCAACATCACGATAAAGTTGACAAATGTTTATTTATATACGGGAGACCTATTGTGTTTCCATGCTTGACTAATCAAAAAGTCAAATACGGGCTTGGATAAAAGAAAACAATATCACATTTATATCATAATGAAATTATATATCTTAATAATTCAAGCGCTAAAATTTATTTGCGCTAAAATACGTATGCGCTAAATTCTCTCGTTTTACAGTATGTTCTTCTACGTCCCATTCAAAAATTTTCACTCTCTTAATGATTGATTGTACAGTAAAACTCGGTTATAAAGAAGTCACTGGGACCTATGAAATTACTTTGCTTTATCCGTAATTCGTTATATCCGTACAAGAAATTCGTTAAATTTATATAGCTGGGGATCCAAGACAACTTCGCTATAATCGTAAATTCGCAATATCCATGTTCGTACTAACCGAGTTTTGCTGTATTTTTTTAACGTCCCTCTCGAGAATTTAACACTCATATATATGGACACACCACCACTTTCCGATGGAGATGCAAATTTTGTGCTACACTCGGCACTAGCTCAAGGCCATCGAGCAGGGAGAAATCTTTTTTCGTACCAACACCTTCTCGTTTCATACGGTCTTATCCGAAGGACCGGTCTCCATATCTTACAGTGGAATTCGAAATCGCGACGTAGGATCAACTTCTTACTTCGCCACTCTGGAGCAGAGCAGACGCCCTAACCATTCCTCCAAGCGGGCGAACCACTCTTACGAGATGCCACTATATACCGCTGTGACTTTTTACTTGGCACACAGAGCCTTTGACCAGTGTGGGATCTTTCTCGTACCAAGGCATGTCGTGACACGAGTCTTTCTTGTTTTTTTTTTTTTTGGATGATTTCTGATGATTTAAAAAAGAAATACTTGACATACTATATTACATGAAAACACATCCTTAATCCAGCTACGACGATGCGTTTTCTATTTCTAGAATGTATATTAAGTACAAGGTCGTTTAGCTTTTTCCTAACTTCGTAAAGATATTCCTGAACTTAGTAACCGATACCGTTAGTGAGAAAAAGTAAACAAATTAACTAGGAGAGGTAACTAGCATGAATTTTATTATGATGATATATTTTCTCCCTATCAACTTTGTTTCCAATGAAATTTGTGGAGATAATGAACATTTTACCAGCTCAATAGTTCTTAAAACATTACAAAATAGGAGCAGAGCAAACATCGACCTCCAATACATCAGGAGTGGGATCAGGTGCCATAGAGGTTTTAGAATCCCCTGCCAACCGGTCACACCTGCCGTGTGTTCCTTGTCATGATCGGGAAATAACGGAAAAATCGTTGGGTAAATAATGGTCTAAGAATGTAAAAAGACGGTCAGCATTTGGCCTACTGATAAATTGCATTTGCTGACAATATCATTGTTTAAATCATAGAACATATGAAATGAAAACTTAAAGCAAGACTGCAGATATTATTGCTTCATTAACTCGTATGTCAATAACTTACCTCCTTTTAGAAATTTTTCATACGTAGAATATGTCCTTCAGTATTGGATCAACTGAGAGATTTGAAGTGTGTATACAGGTGACAAAAGTATATGCTGCTTAAGCGAGGGATGTTGATGATTGAAAAGTTAAAGTCATCACATTAATCATAAAGCTTTGTTGTAAGATAACCAGTAAAGTCTTCTCCAAATATCAAACAGATGTGTCAGACACTGTCACAGTGGTATCTTTTATTTCAAGCTCACTGGGATATATCGTCCATATAAGAATGGAAATAACTATTATTAGGGTGTAATATCTCTCTGATAAGAGAGATAACTTTATGAGGACTTTTTGCCATGAAATACAAGGAATAGTCTTGTCAAAATATACAGAGTCCATTAATGAGGACCATTTAATAGTCAATTCAATCAAATCTTATCTAAAGTAGAGATGTTGATTTCTAGTTTCTATTGCCAATATTTTCATGAATTATTATAATAGATTATCTAAAACTGTTATACTCACTCCCTGTAAATTGTGTAAATTGGGATATTTCTATTTCTTTAAATTGTTACAGAAAGAACGAGGGCGCTTTTGATTGGCATTCGGCAGGAATCTGGGCGTAATTGAAAAGTGAAAATTTTATTGACATGTCACATGAAATTTTAACATTTTTTTTATTTATCGGGTTCCTGTGCAACAGGAAAGAAAAATATTTTCCCGAAATTGAGCTTCAATTTGCTAAAAAATAATCTGAAAATTGACCAAATCAGACATTTTGTACAAAATGGTACATTTTTAAACACGTTTTTCTAAAAAAAATTCTGTCTCTGGGTCTTCTCTCCATGATATTGAAACGTTATTTGTGTGTATTTTAATTCAAAGAAACGAACGAATACACATTTTTAAAAAATGAAGAGAAGACCCAGACACCACGAAAAATGAATTTTTAACCCAAAAATCCAAATGTGTGAATGTAGTGCTTCTTTGTCCTTTTAAAAACATATGTATATGTGTAGCGGTGATAGCTCAGTAAGTTGGACTACCTGTTCAGTGCACTATATGCGAAACGTTTTTGGTTCGAGCCTGGCATGAAGCGTTAAGTTTTTTTTCATGCAAACCATTTATTTTGTCAGTTTCGCTTTATGTACTGATGTATTAAAATTTTGAATTAGATAAATTTTGGTTCAGTTTGGTTCTCGAGAAAAATCTATAATTCCGATCTTCCATTTTATAATGTACATGTACTTGTATCACGCTTCTCTGCATTAAATATTTTGGTGTTTATTTTTTGTGGAACATTACTATGTTATAGTACCCCCTTAAGAAAAACGGACATAAATGTTACAATGTCACAAGGTTTTTTAAACTAAATTTAAAAAAAATCTATGGACGTGTTTGTAAAATCTGACCAGCTATGTTCAGCCAACCAAATCATGGACATTTAAACCATAAATGTTTCGTACAAATGATTCTTGCAGATCACACGCCAAATGCGCCCATCTTCTTTCAGATGCCGAATTGTTTATAATCATTGAGTTAATATTTTGTTTCATTAAAAATATTTTCAAGGGCAATAATGGTAAGATAACTCTTGTTGATGGATGCATATTATTACCTGGTATTTTATAATGACAGAAAGCAGTTTGTTATTCTTATTTAAAAAGCAACACTTCCTTTTTTTCTGATGAGAATTAGATATGTATGATAGTAAATATTATTTTCATATATAACTCTTGAATGGAAACACTGAATTAACACATAAACAATTTCTTCTTGTACTTTTCAGTAATATGGGAAAGAAGAGAAAAACGGATAGCAGACTAGACTAAGAATTAATACTGAAAGTTTTGAAATACATGGAGATAAGGAATAGTATTCAAGCTCAAAAGTACATTAAACAAATCAAAATAGGAGTAGAGCAAACACGGACCTCCGAAACATCAGAGGTGGGATCAGGTGCCATGGAGGTGTTAGAATCCCCTGTCGACCGGTCACTTCCTCTGTGTGCTCCTTGTCATGATCAGAAAATAATGGAAAATCCGTCATCAATTCAGTGTGTATATATTGTACGGACAATTAGTACGAAAATATCAGTCATCATTTGACTCAATAATGAGTTGTATTTGCTGACAGGCCAAAACTAATGGTTGTTATTGTTGTTTCCAGGGAGCAACATTAGCTGTTGTGCGTGTCAGTTGTAGTCTGCATACATATTCTATTTATATTATTATTCATTATATTAACTTATTATACTAACAACTTGAAGAAAATGAAAAAGGCTACTCTAGCCATTTTTATTTGAAAAATAAAACAAGCCTGGTACAGATACTTACATACATAGAAACCATGATACTAAAACTGGCAAAATATACTCAATCAAATGAAAAAAATGGGGGTGGGGTGGGGGTGGGTGGGAATTTAAAAGCTTAATAAAAACAAGCAGTATGTTTTGAAAAGCCGTAATTCTTTCACTTAGGAAGAGTCAAAACAATTTAACGACCTATACAATGAAAAAAAAAAAAACAAGAAAAAAATGAGCTTGCTTTCTTTTCATGTTGCCATACATGTACATCTACATCATTCATTCTCTGAGGTATCAAAGGAAATGTCATTTAATTACTACTTATGGTTTGAGGTTTTCCTCATTTTTTTTTTAAATACAAGCATAAAAATCATAGAATCGTATACATAATTATATGGATTGCACAAACTGAATCAATTATAAAGCAACGATTTACATGCACAAGTTTTAAATCAAACATCTCAACTTTGTAACAATACACAACACGTTTCATGATTGTTAGAAAAAGTTTTGAGTTGCAAATTCGATCTATAATAGATGTCACTTCACACTCAACATAAATAATGAAAACTTTTCTAAACTTTTTCTAAAGTTTCTAATACTGAACGGTAAACTATAGTAAACTCTGCGAGATTTGATTTCACCG